AACAGCAAGAACAGTAGTGGCAGTGGCATGTGTAGTGGTTGCGCGCGGTGATTGTCGTCGCAGTAGTAGTCGTCGTCATCGTCGTCGTGGAAGTATTTAGTGGCAGCAGCAGTTTCGGGAGTGGTAGCCGGTAGCAGGTGTCGTACTAAGTTACTAGTGGTCGTGTTGATTCTTGCTGCCATCTCGTTGTTGAATCTCCCACCTTGCCCATTTTGCTCTGCTTGTCTGGCAATGTTCGTTTTCGATATTGATGCAACTAGTCTCAACCTCTGTCGTGGTCTATTCTCTCTGCTAGCCAAGATTCAGTCCGCCCTACAAGCCATAGATTTTGAAGCTTGAATACTGTCTCCATGCACTAACGGTCTACATTCAGTGGGCTATTATGGGCCTTTTATGCCTTTTCATAAACGTTACCGAACGGTTACTGAAATGTGTCAGTATCCAATCTTTACACCCTAAACGCTACACCCCAAATCCCAAGCCGCAACCCGGGCGGGCCGTCCTGCTAGCAAGCCTGGCGGTAGGAGCTCTGCCTTGCGACAGAAAATCACCACTACTTTCGCAACGACTACTACGACGACGACGACGACGACGACTACTAGTACTACTACTATTGCTACTCCTCCTCCTCCTCCTACTACTACTACTACTACTACTACCACTACTACTTCTGCTACTTCTTCTACTTCTTCTACTACTTCTACTACTGCTACTGGTCCATTGGTATTGACATATGATATTTGCGATGATTGTAAGTACAAACACAGTATTCACAGTACCATGCCAAGAACAGTACCTATCACCGATGATGCCAAGAACAAACATGACACCAACGTTAGCTATATTGACAAGACGGCTCAGCATTCGACCTTCTTACCTTCGTAGCTCCGGGCCCATGCCAATATTAGGGGTTGTGGGATTAAGGGCCACCCTGGGGGTTTCAAAAAAAATAGGGGACCCTAATATAGCACCCCAAATAGTAGGATCCTTATTATAAGGACCCCCAAAATAAGGTACCCCTGATTTTCGGAAACTTCCACCCTAGACTCTAGACCCCCTCCCCGAAACATAACCGGATTGATACTTTAAAATCTTTACAGCACGGCCAGGGGCTCAGGACGTGCAACGTCTCCCTCTGTCGCAAGCTTTGGGCGGGAAGAATCTTTCGTTTCAAAGCCATGAGTGCAAGAGCTGGGGTTATCGTTCACGAGTGCTGGGAGGCCCAACAGAAATTGACTAGGCTTGTGTTCTTGGGTCTGGGTATGCTGTGCTCCAGTTAAGTTCGGTACAATGCATATGTTGATATGCAGACAAGCGTTGAAAACACGCACAGAAGTATGCCAATTACAAGCATACGGTTCTAGAAATAGAAACACCTAGAATTATAGAAGAGTGCGTATATACAACTAATATTTGAGTGTAAGTAGGTATGCATGTATGTACGCATGAGTGTATGTATGTATGTATGTAT